ATCTCCATTGGGAACTCATTGAAAATCAGTAACTACTTTGTACACTGCATGTATAAAACTCATTTCAAAAACTAATTTTCATTAAATTCTCACATCTTATTTTTCACTCATGGGAATAGATTGTTATGGTAACAGTTATATGCAGAAGTGCAGGAGCATTCTAACTGTTGTACTAATTTGTTTGTTTTCACTTCCATGCCTAAAATCCTCTCTGGTATTGGTCTTATTGGTGTCGGATCAAGCCCTTGTATCTCACAAATTTATCTCTATCTTATACAGTTTAGTAATAAATAAATTTTTATTTTTCGTTATACACATGAGCTTCAACTTTTTTTTATTTAATTTAATTATGATGATATGGGTGATTATTTATGTACTCCCTGTACAAGAGATTGATAAAAAACGATTTGTCAATAAATAACCCTTTCCCGAATAGATGAGGCATACAGTGTATGAGTATAAAAATATTACCTGAATATTTACCTGAAAACACCTTTTACACATATGTCTCTGTAGACTTACCAGATATGGATTATTTAATTATCTAGGAAGGCATTTACTTGTCCTTTGTTTATGATGTATGGACCTGTCTCCTGAGATTTTAGGATTGGCTCCAGGAAGGTCAAACAGACCCCTCCAAGACAAGGATAACTTAGGTGATTAAAACTCCTTTTAGGCTTAGTAAGATAAATGTAGCTCATCTATTTGCCATCCTTCGTGCACTTAGATATTTTAGTTCTTGTAATTGGGATCTGTTCGTTATCTTGTTCTGTCAGATTGTAATATTGAATGTCACCAGCTACCCTGAGGAAAAGATGCTTGAACCAATTACTTATTTTTCTGTTTTCCTGTTACATGTATTTTGTTGGATAATCTTGGATGGTCCTCTCAATCATCACTAAAGATAAACAGGGAACCTTGGATGGGTGGTATGTGTCATTCTGATTTGTCAGAATCACTCTTTATCTTTGTGTGATACACCTCTACATCTGCATCATCTACATTGAGTAGATGTTATGGTAGGTGGACAAAATATACACATACAGTAAAACCTGTTTATTGAATCACCTGACTAATCAGAAAACCTCTCATTATGAACGCTATATATAAAATTTGTGCCATACACATCCATGTTTAAAAACCTTGAAATGCGAACACTTGCTAACCTGAACACTTTTTGCCAGACCCAGTAGCTTTCTGATTAGACTGGTTTTTTTTACTGAAGATGGCATCATAAGAGATATACAGAATGATGGGTTGATTGAACCCAGCATCTGAGGAACACTTCTATGTATGAGTTAACTGCCAGTCAGGGTTGTGTTGTTTCTCAATAGCCTACATCTGTGTAAACTAATTGGTGTCATCATAGTAATGTCAGATTCAATCAGAGATTTTGTTTGCAGTTTGATGCCAGATCATCAGAAGTCTAACTGGCTGATTGAATGTCTTGTGGCAATTAGAAGGGGTTTAACCAGTTTATGTAATTGTTGAAGTTGGTGTTTTGGACCCCCCATTTGAGAGGATCCATTCACAGCAGCAGTAAGCTGTTTTCTATGGTTGTTTAAACCAAAATCGCCTGATGTGTTGAGGAATTTGGAACTGTTTTCTACCATGTTACAATAATAATTTCCAATCATTTTCCCTGTTTGTTTTCACTCTTTTTGCCTGCTATTGGAAATTCTATTGAAACCCCTGTATATAAGATTTATTCTTGAACAGTTGACCAATATATGATGTAAAAAGGCAAAATCAAATGAATGAGCCAATTGGGAAAGTCAACATTGTCATAACTCATTGTATTCCAGACCAATTTATAAAACAAGTTGAGATGTTTCTCCAAACGGGAGACTGAATTATCACACTACCCTACCACGTGACCACGTTTAAAAGGGAAACAGGGTACAGCTAAGTTGCAAATGGAGGACGTGGGTTTAATTCCATATTTCTGAACGTAAAATACATTTTACATTTATTTTTAGTGTTCTACCAGACATAGAATTGATTCATCAAGCAGTTTGTAGAATATTGTTGGCAAAAAACCACTATAGGCAAAGATAGATAATAGTGGGCGCAGTGAAGCAAAACTTAATGCAATACACGATACATTTCAGTAAATCTGTCAACGTACAGGGAGCATGTAAGTTTCCCTTCGAAAATGTTACATTGATATGCAACAAAACCCCAGTAAACTGTTATTTCAACTGCTTGTCATCGTGTTATATGTGGATACGTTTTCCAGTATGTTATTCAACTGTACTTTTGTAAATTAATTGTTTTTCTAAAATCTTAAGATGCAAAATAGTCGTCCCAGAAATGTATCTTTACTTTGCCGTAAGGCATAACATATTGTGAAACATTTTTCCTCTTGTCACAAGGAGGATAATGTTTGTTTCGAGGTGTCTTGTGATGAGCGTTTCATGATTAAATGCAAAATCACTGGAGCAGATACCATCCAAAAACATCTGACATTCAACACGTCATATAAGACTACATCGATCTGGTATTAGTTTTTTTACAATAATAGAGAAATACGACGTCATATCACCTCCACAGCAAATCGTGAAGAACAAAATGTCGTGGCATGATGGTATTTTGAACAAACTATTTTAAATGATCGGTTTTTGAGGACGGTAGTGAATTAGACCATTCAAGGGGTTATATAGAAAGATTCTTTACATGTAGTTCACGCAATTTTAATTATTCTGAATAGCGGATAGTCATTAATCCTGATAGCCAATAGTCATTTATCACTTACGTGTTTATATTTAATTTCGTTATTTTATTTCAATTTGATACCCTAGTAACACGTATAATCTAGCGTTCTTGTTAATTTAATGACTAAAATGCATTTACGACCTGAAAGCCCGTGTCTAAATCTACTAAATAATGTTTACTTTATTTGGATTAAATAACAATTGATGACACCTCAAAGCATCAACAGGCGGCCTTTTTAGTATTATTTTCACTGTTTGCAACGTAAATATACATGAGATCGGGACATAGTATGTCTGTATAATCAGCTTACTTTCTCGCTCCCTGTACTATTGAACAATTTACATTCCTTGTACCCTGTATTGATCAACTTTTGCAGCTGTGTACTGTGTACTATGACATATCAAATATTTTAAAATTTAAAACGATATTATTTACATTATTTCTTCAACTATCATATAACTTGGAACATGGAATTCACTATTGCACCACTGAAGTTTAGCGAATAGCAATATTGACTCACTCCGAGCACCAAACGTATTAACCTTTTCACTAAGCAGTCGATATACTCAAAAGCGACCTGATTCAAAGCCAAAAAATTCGCGCATGCGCTATCGAGGTAGGGTAGTGTGATTATAGAGCTTTATCAAAATGAGTTTTTGAAACACTCATCTGAAGTGTGCTGCCATCTTTTCAAACATAAAAGTTTATTTCAGTGAAAGTTAGTTTACTATTTTGTTTGCTTCCCCTTTCTCACTTTGACAATTCAAGATAACCTATCGGATATAATTAACCTTCAATTGAGAACTTTGTATATTTTCATTCTGATTCATCTCTCTTTATGTAAAGTTATTCCAAGGGATAGATCAGACTTGATCTCACAATCGTGTATTTTACCCTTCTTAAACCACAGTAATGATTGATTAGTTTTGATTATTGATTGCGTTCTCCAACAATTTCACCATAATTTTTATTTTCAAATAGTCTTGCCTAAAGCCAATGTGTACCCACTGTATTCACACTCACACCGAGACAGAATAAAGGAATACAAGTATGAAGATGGTTCATGTTTTTAAATGATTCATTATTATTCCTGGTGTAAGTTTGATTTTTATCTTGTACATAATTTGGTTGTTTTAAAAGTTATCAAATGTCCCATGTTATCATGTATGTTACTACAATTACTTACCCTGGCTGTGCTTAGGTAAATATGCAGAGTGTATATAAGAGAAGATAAGGGTACATCTCAAACGTGAATTAAGTAAGTTTTTACACTATCCTGTTTTTTGACAACTTATTGAAACAAAGTGAAAATTTGAGGTTGTTGACTTTCAATGTTCATTATCATATAAATTTGTAGAATGTTTTATTTTATTAAGGGTCCCATCCCAAATTATTTCACCCAATTGCTCCAAATAGATGCAGCCAAATTTAAATTCTTTTGAATTGTTTTCACACTGCGAGGACATTGTGGGGAAAGAGAATTGGTAAATCCAGGATGATGGATGTATGGCTGAGTGCTTCAAAATAAAGGTTGTGTTATCATTGCCACACAGTTTTTAGATAGTAATTTGTGTATAAGGAAATCCCCCACACACTTAGATAGAAGGAAGTCTAATATTTCAAAACATATCTCAGAATTCAGAATATTCGATGAGGGTACAGGTAATCCATATGTAAAGCAAGGTAAAAGTTTGTTATGAAGTTTACAAGTTATTCTATGGATGAAACACAACATAAAAATCTATTAAATATTATTAAATAACGAGTAGCGAGTACCTAAAACCATTTATCAGGCATGATTTTCACTCCATTTTTGATCCTTCATCATAAAATACCCAAATTTGTCTACCAGTACAGTATATAAATATAAAAAATATATAAACTAAGCTTATTATGTTTTAAATAGTTATGTCCAGACACTATGCTATATATGTGCAATAGAATACCACACTTGATAGATCACAAAGATGAGTAAATGCCAAAAACATTCATTAGATCAACACCTTATGGATTATAAGTAAAGAAATGGGAGTTATTATCTCAAAGAAGAAAGGTAATTTGAGTGTTTATCAAACTACTGGAATATAAAGTCTTCACTTATGAATATTTATGAGGTTGAGGCTGAGGTGTTTTTTATATAGGTATTGTATTGAACTTAAAAAAACTAGATTCATCTTCGTTGGTTTTTATTGGTTCATGTATTTGTTTTATGGTTTTTATGCCATGTTTTTGTGTATGCCATGTTCATATTTTAATTTTTCAAGTCTTTCCTTCTTTACTTCCAGATGACGTATATGACTCTGGATTAGACGAATCTTTCAGCTCAGCTTTCTCAAATCCGTACCCCATAATGGGTGTGTCTACAACTATTGAACGCCCAATGCAGCGAACCATAGCAAGGCGGAGCTTCAGAGTGACATCAGCAATGACTGACAGGTGCAATATGTGTGGATTTATCATCAAATCAGACCGCGTCTCTGTCCAAAAGGAGATTTATCACATTGCCTGCTTCAAATGTTGTATGTAAGTATGCCATCTATTTATCGAAAAATGAACGGTATAATGGATTATCAATATTAGTTCATTTACATTTATTTTAATTCCAATATGATTGTTTAATACTCTTCAAAGGCTTTTAAATATCAGGTATATTTCACATCATTGGTGAAATCTAACTGAAATCTCACTTTCTGAAACCTAATTATCATTAGTTAGACAGTGATGTGATGTAAAGTTTCACAAATCCTACATTACAAATTCCTCATAGACTGGTCAACCATTTGAAAGTACCCCTTCTCCTTAGCTGTCTATGACACAAATCAATACATGAACGGGATAAATGGTTATGAAATATCCTAAAAGTGCCCAGAGGAGAGTCATGACAGCATATGGAAATTATTGGCAATATATTTGCCTTGTTATTACCAAGCGTGATAAATATATCTAATCATGGGGCACATAATAGTTAATAGAATGCCACCCTTGGGTCCCACTGCACCTGTTAACCAGGAACAGGAGACTCTTGGACTGTCAAAATATTATTCTTGTTAGGCAGTGCATTTGAGAGATCTTCCTTGAAATGATATGATATGTTGAATGGCCCATACAAGTTCAAATTCAGATTATGATAAAATATGTTTATGATCATATGATTTTTAGGGTTTTTTGTCATGGACTTCCCAATGGTCAAAGTAATGGTCATATTTAGAATCTGGGAAGATACACACATTTGTCTTGCTTTCTTAATTCTTAATTCCAAAAATACACGGTCAGTTCATGTTAGAAGTGTGTTTTGTTATATTCTCCTGCTTTCTTAATTAATTAATCAATTAATTCCAAAAATACAAATAGGACACAGTCAGTTCATATTAGAAGTTTGTTTTGTTATATTATACATGAGAACAATTAGTGCTTGATTAAAGCTACATAGTTGCTTTATCAATTAGTGTTATGTTGAAACAGTGTGCAACAGTGGAGATAATTATATAAGCAATTACCAATTAAGGATGCTTGGGGTCTTAATAGGCATCACATTTCATTTTGGCACAATTTACCATATAAGGAGAATGGGTCTTATACCTGATACACCTACTGTATTGTACATGTACATTAATGGTAAGGTCTAGTATTGCTTCAAGATCCTGTTTTCCACCCCGACCCCCAGTTTCTCTTTAAAGCAGTATGATTAACTGAGGAAGTAGATTTCATGATTCTTATTTCAGATCTTAAATTTTTGTAAAATGCAGACTTCTTTTTGTCATCTACTGTAAAACTGATTTTGAAATATGCCACCTAAACATACATCTAGTGTTTATGGTTTCTGTCATATTGTTACTGATATAAATTGTATAAATATTTTTCTAAAGAAAACTAAATAAGATACCACTAACCCTAGTCTCATTATTGTTGTTTTATTTGGAGAGTAAATACTAGAACTTTGAAATATAAAACAAAAAGTAAACAAAGTGGTTATCACATTTAAAAAGAGTACAATGAATTTTTTAAGTGATGTTGATTATTAAGTGCATTTCAACTTTGATTCGTTCTTAATAATTCTTAAATTGACATTTCCTGTATTTTTAGAATGAAACACTATTTCGGGAGATAAAATTTAAATAACCTTATTGGCGTCATAAATAAAACATAAATAACAATCAAAGTTGATCAAAAAATCAGTTGTCTATCTAAGTTATGATCATCAATGCTTTTAGGCTAATAATACCCTAATAATGAGTTTGTGTATTCAATATCATGTATCTTCTATCTGCCAAGGGCTGCTATCTAAAAGTTCACTAATTAATGCATAATTAATACAAAATCATTTGAAACATATATCTAAGTGCAACTTTAAACCACATTGTGTTAAGTCTGCCTCAGTTCATGTGGAGGCATAATATTCAAGCATTTAACCAAAATTCAGATCCTTTGTTTTTGACCCTGGGGTATGATCGGTAAATGACTTATAATTAAAAGCTAGGTCAAAATATACATCGACAGTGATTAGATTGCGGCCCACTTCGTGCTCAGAAGTTTCACTCCAAGTAAAATTTCTGGACTTGGGGCTAGTGCCATAAGTTTACCTAACTGTACCAGGTTACAAATTCGACTTTACTTTTAGTTTTTATGTGAAATTGGATATTGTCTCGTGTGGTGGCCTCCAGTGTATCATGTGTGAGGTTGAAAGTAGTGGAACAGTTGATATCATAAGGATAGTTAAACAAGTGGTGGATCACAACATCAATTGATTTGGATCAAAATAAGAATTGATAAGGATCACAACTCACAAGAACAGTTGATTGGGATCACAGGAACATTTGATTAGGATCAGATTAAGAGCAGATCATAGTTACAATAGCAATTGACTAGGATCACAATGATAATTGATGAGGATTATAATAATTATTTGCTAAGATCACAGTTGATGGGATCAAAATAACAATTGATTAGGATCACTTAAGGATATCTTATAACTGGATGAAATTGAGCAAATGTGAATAAATAGGATAAAAAAGTTATGTGTGGATTCTACACAAATTATGATAGACTGAGTTGAGTGAGTAAATTGTCTGTACTGGTTTGGATTAGTATATACAAATTTATTTTGATTTTTGCCTTGGAGTCATCGTGGAATTCATATTTAGATCAGTTGACACCATGTCAACTGCTAGCCGGTGTACGTTGCCAAGGAGACGATTGGCATTGCCACGACGATGGAAAAGCAGGTGAGAATGTGATTCACTGTAATCTTGAAGTTAATTAGAATTGTATTGAGTCAGGAGAGTGGGTTTTTGAACCCCTAAGTAGTAAAAGCTGGAAATTTGGTGACTAGCCAATGATATTCAGTAGAATGGGGTATGTGTGTTTTCATAAGGAACCTGAGAAAAGGTGTGTTTCTTGGTTATTTGCTTTATGTTAATTTCCAGACAAACAAACAAACAAACAAACAGTGATCTCATATACTAGACTTTCTAGATGTTCTTGATCTTTGTGTTTTTGTGGTCTTGATGAAGAAATGTTGCAACTAAAAATAGACTATTGCTTAATCATGATTTTAAGTTGCAAAGATTAATTATAAACCAACAAAATAAAGATTTGGTTTCCAATGACCTTTTAACATTACAAGATTTGATTATGGTTTCAGTGAAATGCCTGCTAATTCTGTTTTCATTTTCAGCTTATAAAATATGTAGTTCTTTAAGTATCCTTTGTAAGAGTTCAGCTTAATTTTTTACTCTTTAAATGAGAAATGATTCTTTGATCTGTCTTATCTAATCAAAATATGTACAATTACATTTTCTACCTATAAACTATTGCAATAACTGCGCCCCCTTTTGTCTTGGTCTTTCCAAATCTTTCTTTTGCAAACAATAGGTAAGAGGGGGTTTTGTAAACCACAATGCCTATAAACCACTAAAATTCATTAATAAACATTCAAACACCCATAAAGTCTCTGTAAGTTACGTTTGAGATTGTTAAGATCTTATTGGCATCAATGTCAAATCATTGTCATAGTCAGAGGTTGATGTGACAACTTGGTGGAGATTCAGGATATTACTTACACCAACATAAACATCATCATGCATGAGTTTTAAAATCATGATTTCATTACTTTAGAAATCAAGAATATATCCTGAGGAAATACATTTACAGTATACATATTAATTGACAGTATTTCATATACTCAGTTTTAAACCTCAAGAGAATCATTCAAATGTATTTTTGGAGGGCGTCAAAATATCTAATCGTATATGAAACCCTCGAGACTCACAGGCAGTAGAGCGTAGTAGAGGTTTTACAGAGATGTGATGCAAGATTTACCAAAATTATTAATTTTATCTCGATTCTCGGAGACAAGGTTTTCATTATCAATTCTATTGTACTGTACCCAAAATAAGTTTAGATTTAGATTAATATAAAGCATCTGGTCTCCCATTAACTATTTATCTACCTAGATCCCATCTCTTTTCCTATCTGTTTTTGCCATAAAAGGTGTATGTTAGTAGGGGTGGGGGGGGAGGGGGACACATGGACTTTACACAAGACTATGATTTATAAAATATTCTTTGACTGAACTTAAACTCAGAGAATAGTTCAACATAAATATTTATTTTAAGCTATTTGAAGTTCACTTTAAAAGTAACCTGTTGGGATCATTGGTTTCTATTAGTCTAAACATCTGAACAAATACTGTATCTACTATCTAACCAATTTAGGTAGGCAGATTGGGTTAACTTTTGAAACTTTCATGATTTCAGGTATAATGCTTTATATTACATAGAGGTCCTAGATTAAGAGCGAGAAGAACATTATTGGAGCATTCTTAGCTAGCAAAATACCTAAATCCAATTTTAACTCTCAAAATCATGATATCATGTAAGAGAACAAAAGAGTAAGGAGTTCTTAACTTTATGAACTATACGATTGGTAATGTTCCTGATATTACTTATTTCATTTGACTTATCTGAGATTCACCCTATACCAAGGCCTGTCTTAGTTGAATCCTTTGCCGCCTTCAGTTCAACTTTTCTGAGGACTATATACAAGGGGCGATCAACAAATAACAAAAATAGAGCTCTATCTCAGAAACTAATTATAGTTAGAACACCAGATTTTATACATGCTATCACCAACCATTCATTATTATTTCCATAAAATCTGAGGCACAAATATTACCTTATGTCAGAGTTATGGTTGCCATAGCAACCCGTAGTATGGGCACCTGTATTTATTGCACTTGGCTTATGTTCTTTAGAAAAAGATGTCTCATTGTACTGGCCTACCTTAAGCTTAATTCTGAAATACTGTTATCTTTCAACATCCTGCCAATATAAGTCTTACTATTCCCAAAAAGAAAGGAAGAATGTAGGAGTGAAATTTCTGTCAGGTCTCCAAGACTTTGTTTCAGGTACTAATTACTTCCAGAGCAGAGATAGGTTCAAGTTATTTCATTTGAAAAAGTTCAGTCAATGACATAGCAAACAAATTATTTATCTGTTCACGAGGAAGATATCTGATTAATAAAT